ATCATTGGTACATTTTAGGTATACAATATAATGACATTCATCATTGGAAATTTGCACCTTTACGTAGTCTCTCTTGGTTCTTGTTTTTCACCCTTCCCGAGCCCTCCCTCTAGAGTCTTTAATCATGTCTTTCACTCTGCTCACCATCTCTATAGTTATCTGAGAAATATTTCCGTTTAGAAGTTTTCTAGAGCCTCATTCATCTCTTTACTTACTTCCTGTGCTATCAGTTCAGGGTGTCCAGGTGGTTGATTAACAGACTTTTCCACCTCACTTCCTCCAGAATTTACCCTTGGTGGGGTGGAAGTCTGAGTTTGTGCCTTGCTTAAATGTCTTCTCACTTTTGTTTTTGGAACTGTCCTTGGTTTAATTCCTGGGTTTATTACTTCAGAATTGCTTATTGTAAGTATCTTTGTTGCTTGTACTTAGAACCCTTATGGAATGATTGCTTCTCAGAGATGTCTTCCAGATATAGCTGGTCTTTAGGTTTTGAGTCTCTAATGGCTCTGAGCCAATCTCATTTTCATTATACCAGGAAGGACAACTGATTGGATCAGTCACAACACCTTAGCCCAAGTGATACAATCAGCAACACCATAGTATCAAATACATCTTAGAAAATGACAATTTGTGGTAGTTATTAATGTCACCTTTAACTGTGTGAATTAAATAAAAATTGAGGACCAACCCAACATATGTTTATAGTGAATAAACTTTTCAATATAGCAACTTTACCCTTCAGGATGGGGAGTTAGAAGGAGTTGGGGAGGGAGGAATAGATAGGTAGAAGGATAGGGGAACGTTAGCGATGAGACCAGAGGACACAGGCAAGAGAAGAAAAGAAAAAGAAGAAATCCGAATTAGGGCCAGAACTGGAACAAAAAAGGAGATGTGTGGGACAGCAAGAGAGCAAGTGTGAGAGAGAGAGAAAGGAAAGAGAACAGAAAGGAAAAAAAAGAGAAAAATAAAAATGTGAAAAGAGTAGGAAAAAAATTAAAAATAAGAGCTAATAATAATAATAATTTTGAAAATAACAAAAAATAAAAATGAAAATGAAGGGCCTCCTTCAGGGTATGTCTCTGCCGTCACAATAGACAACGTGGGCAGCAGTGTGCAGATATAAGTCATTGAGTCTCAGCAAGCCAGTTGCAGCCCTGTGGGATTCAGGCAGATTTCTGGCTGCAAGTCTAAAGTTGAGCTCCCTGTCCTCCTGCAAGGTTGAACTCTGCAAGGTTCTACTGCAGGTTTCAGGTACCCTTCCCATGAAGATAGTTCAGGTTCCAATGGGAGTTGATGATCCCTCCAACTTACCAAATATGGTGTTCTGGTGTCCCCTGTGCCTTTGTAGTGTGGAACCAGTTAGACATACAGCCAGGTGGCCAGAGGGTGGGGGTTGCTGGGGGTTGCCTCCGTGGGCATGGCAAATGGCTGGGGGTCCTCACCTTCTGGTTGGTGGCCAGTGGGCATGACATGGGTTGGATGGAGCAGGGTTCCCAGCCTCCACGGACCTCTCTTTCCCGTGGGCTATGGGTCGCCCAAATCAAATATTCTTTTTTTTTGCACTGGAGATTGAACTCAGGACCTTGTGCTTCTTCTTTAATTCAAAGTGACTATGGATCTTAATCAGTTTCATTTAGTTTTGTTTTCATTTTTATGAAGGCAAGTATGTATTCTGGAGTGATACTTATATGTATTGTGCATTTATGTATATAGAGTACTTATACATTGGGAATCATTGTGACTTGATCTCTACTAATGTTTTTTAGTTTGGTTGGGTTTTGAGGTTTGGGCGTTTGTTTGTTTTGTTTGTTTTTTGAGGCAGGGTCTTACTATTAATTCAGGTTGGCCTTGAACGCACTGTGTAGCCCAGGGTGGCCTCGAACTCATGGCAGTCCTACTTCAGACTCCCGAGCATTGGGATTACGGGCGTGCACCACCATGTCTGGCTGTTTTTGGTGTTTTGAGACAGGGTCTCGTTCTGTATTTCAGGCTATCCTTAAACTCACTGTGTACTCCAGGCTGGCCTCAAACTTGAGGCAATCCTCCCTCAGCCTCCTGATTGCTGGGATTACGAGCATGTGCCACCACACCTGGCTCCCTACTAAGTTTTTTATAGGTCTGTTATCATTTGTCTTCCATGTACTTTGACCATGTAAATGAATGGGTTTCTTAAGTATTCATCTCCCTCTCCCAATACACATCTGTTCATTTAAAACATGTTATGAAATGTTGACTTAGAGCAATTCTAGCTACTGCTTTCATGTTCCAGCCTGCTTATGCATGATTAATTTATTTTTGTTTTTAATTTTTTGTATCATTTTAGTAACGATGATGTTATATTGATTTCTGTGGAAAGTTCTAATTTGACAACTCCAATTACATCAAATCCAACAGGTATCTTAAATTGATTAGATTATTTATCAAATTGCAGTGCTTAAATAAGTTTTTTTAAATGAAAGATAGAAACTTTAAAATTTTGTCTGTTCTCAAAAATTTTCTGATTTTTGTATGATTAATAATACCTCAGTAAATGGTTCCTTCATGTAATTCACATTTCTTTTTGATCATGTATTTCATCAATTTGTGACCTTTTATTTGGTTTTTGGTTTTTGGGGGGTTTTTTTGGTACTGGGGATCAAACTCGCAACCTTGCGCTTGCGAGGCAGGCTGTGGAACCATTGAGCTAAATCCCTGGCCCTATTTCTTTTATTTTAATTTTAATTTTTTATTGTACCTGTTTGCAGATATTTATCTAGTGACTTTGTAAATCTTAAGAAAATTACTTCCATGTATATTATTTTGAATCATTTTCTGTGGCCTTCTGTTGGTTGTTAGTGGTGCTTTGTTGTTTGTCTTTTTTGGCAAATTGTAGTCTGTGTTGACTTAAAATTTATCTAAATTTTGTTCTTTTTCTTTTGACTTTTAAAAAATATTTTTATTGCCTTTTAGAATTTATGTCTTATACTTTTAAATAAAATTTTAACTTTAGATTTCCAGTGATAAATTTCTTGTCCCTTAAAATAGCTATCTTGTGTGGCCCATAATTTCTGATAGTTTTGCCTCTGTGTATACAAGTACTTAATTGTTTCCACAGTTTTTGAATCAAAAAGCTACAAAAGACAGCATTTACTTAAGGGTTTCTGCTAACTTAGGAAGAGTCACCTCAGCCATCTCAAGCAGTCTGTTTTAAAGATACTGGGAGTGGAGCCAGG